ACGAGTATAAACAAAGCGAGCGAAGATCACGCGAGAAATCAAGCACAGCGGAAACAATAGCGAGCGAGCGCCGCGAGCACGCGACGCACACGTGTACGACGCGCGGAGACAAAGAAGCGTCAAGTATATAATCCGCGACGCCGAATTAATCAGGACCAGACCGATCCGGACCGTCAACCGAACTCGATGCTACACAGCGGAGAGCAAGGCCTACGACCGACTCGTATCTGCTTCCTAAACCTGCCAACGATCACATCCTCGCAAACCAGGACCGAAGCCAGTACGTTAGCTGTGCTCTGCCGATCTTTATCGACTCTAGTTTGCATCCCGTCGACATCCCGAACAAGGACCGAAGCCAGTAAGCTAGCTGCGCTCTGTCGAGCTTTCTCGACCCTTGTTCGTCACCTTTCGACGAGCGAGATCGGGTGTGAATACGCCGATACATCGGCTACTCACGCCTCATCTCGTCTCTTGCGACGCCGACGGGCAAGCGAACGCATAGCTGTCAAAACCGCGAGGACAGCATACGACACTGTGCTACGACTTCGGTACCGCCGACACCGCGCGGTCCCCGCGACCAGCCACGCGAACCGCGTACGAATCGCGAACACCGAATCACGACACGCGACCGCCTGCCGAATCTCCGAGGCGAGCCTAGCCATCGCGCTATACGCTCCGCCTACCGACTTACCTATCGCGGCCTACCGAAACCGCAATCCGGTAGCTGGCGCCGTCACCCAGAAACTTTGTATACTAATACGCGAACACTCTGTACCAAGGCTAAATAAATCTTTTTGTTATTTTTATCTTACATTCCGCGTCCGTTTATTTCACGAACCCGGACTCCGACGAGCGAATACATCCGCGGCAACGACACCAACCGACACGCGGAGTACGGTTGTTACAATGGCGCCCGAACAGTTTAAGACGCGAAATAAGACAGGAAAAAAGCCCGAGTACAGAGCACGAATGACGTCGTGGGTATACAAATTAGCTAAAAACGAAATTATAGAACATCTACAAAAACAAAACGTAGATACGGAGGGAACATTCGAAGACCTGAGACAACGACTCGTTCAATTAGCAAAAAGACAACCGGAATTATTTACAGACACGAAAAAAAGTAACTGGGTAAACGGCGCAGTAACCGAGAACAAGGACGCGATGCCAGGAGGCAACGATTCCGCTGCGACGATAGAGCCGGGGGAATCAATCGCGAAAATAATGGGGCAAATAAGGAAATGGGGGTGCCACTTTGATGGACGCGACCCCCACTCGTTCCTGGAACGAGTCGAGGAACTAAGCCAGGTATACGGATACCCAGGCGAATATTTACTAAGAGGGTTACCGGAAATGCTGAGAGGCGAGGCTCTAACGTGGTTCCGGAATGGTCGCGAGAATTGGCATTCTTGGGAAGAATTTCGCGGCGATTTCGAAGCAGAATATATACCAAGGGAGTCCCAAGTAAGAATGCGACGGCAAGCGAGGGGGCGCGAACAAAAGGAGGGAGAGCCGTTCCGGAGTTATGCCAACGACCTGCTCAAGCTCATGCGAAGAGCAGGCGGATGGTCGGCAAAGGAACAGCTCGACCTCCTCTATGAAAATATGCTCCCCGAAACGAAACGATTTATAAGACCGGACGAGGTGGACAGTTTAGGCGAACTTCGAACGAGAGTAACGGAAGTCGAGCAGATAGAACAACAGATCAGGGAAAAAAGACAGAAAAGACCAGAAAACCAAAACATGCAGGCAAAAATACCGCCAGCAGCAACAACGCCCTACAACAAGGACGAGTGCTGCTGGCGGTGCAAGCAAAGGGGACATAACAGATTTGACTGCAGGAGACCACCGCGGAAGTTCTGCTCGCAATGTGGCAAGGACGACGTACTGACAAGGGAGTGCCATCCGCGACCGGGAAACGGGCAACGGGCCGAGTACCAGAAGGAAACTCGGCCCAGCAAAACCCAATAAAATACACTCCGAGACCGTTTATCAATATAAAAATAAACGGGCAAGAAATAGAGGCACTACTCGACTCAGGGTCGGAAATGTCCTTTATAAAACCCGAGACAGCAAAACGACTGCAATTAAAAATACGCAAGACAGACACTAACGTTAGACTGGCTAATGGAACAACAACAGAGGTGACAGGGACAGTACAAGCAAAAATGAGAATGCAAAATAACGATTATCAACGGCAACTAATAGTATTACCGAACCTCGGTTGCGAGATGATCATCGGAACAGACCTATGGGCTGACTTACAGTTAACGTTACCACCGCCGCCACGCGCAGAACCAAAAACAATAATAGATACGTGCATAATAGACAAAGGACTGACACAACGGACGGAAATAGAAGACAGAACATTAAAACAATTCTTAACAAAGGAATTAAACATGTTTAAACAAATACAAGGACCAACCAAACACATACAACATCACATAAGACTGACAAACACAAGACCGATCAAACAGAGATACCGACCCCGAAACCCGGCAATGCAGGCAGTCATAAATGAAGAAGTCGAAAAAATGATAGAAGAGGGGATAGTCGAAATGTCACAAAGCGCATGGAGCTCACCGGTGGTGGTAGTCAAAAAGAAAGATGGGAAGCATAGATTCTGCATAGATTTCCGTAAACTAAACGAAGTTACAGAAAAGGATGCATATCCACTGCCGCACATAACAGCAACGCTCGATAAGCTGCGTGGCGCTAAATATCTGTCAACATTAGATCTGAAAAGCGGGTATTGGCAAATACCACTGTCCCCCTCGAGCCGGCCGTTAACCGCATTCACCGTACCAGGGAAGGGTTTGCTGCAATTTAGAGTAATGCCGTTTGGGTTACACTCCGCGCCCGCAACGTTCCAAAGACTATTAGACCGAGTACTGGGCCCCGAGCTGGAACCAAACGTACTGGTGTATTTGGATGATATAATTATCATAAGCAGGACATTCGAGGAACACCTGAAACACCTCAGAGAAGTGTTTCACCGATTACGGAGAGCAAACTTAAAGATAAACGAAGAGAAATGCCGGTTCTGCGTAGAAAAACTAAAATATTTAGGACACGTAATAAATAATAAAGGGATCCAAACGGACCCGGAAAAAATTAATACAATTAAAAACTGGCCAACACCGAGCACAGTGCGGAAAATTCGACAGTTCCTAGGATTAGCATCGTGGTATAGGAGATTCATACCAAGCTTCTCCACCATAGCCGCCCCACTGACCACAATGCTACGCAAAAATGCAAAGTGGAAGTGGGGAATAGAACAAGAAAAGGCGTTCAGGGAACTGAAAACGAAACTAACGACAACACCGGTATTGGCTTGCCCGGATTTCACAAAAAAATTTGTCATCCAGACAGACGCCAGTACGGAGGGTTTAGGCGCGGTATTGACGCAGCGGTTAGACAATGAGGAACGGGTAATCGCGTATGCAAGCCGGACTCTGGACAGGGCGGAACGGAATTACAGTGCGACCGAACTGGAATGCCTCGCCGTAGTATGGGGAATAAGGCGCCTCCGCGACTACGTGGAGGGATACAGATTTACAGTCATCACAGACCACCAGTCCCTCCGGTGGCTGCAGAAAGTAGAGGCGCCAACAGGGAGATTAGCTCGATGGATCATCGAGCTACAACAGTACGATTTTGAGATTCAATACCGGCGAGGCAGTCTAAACACGGTCGCGGACGCCCTGTCCAGGCAACCACAAATATGTACCATCACCACCGCATGCCAATGGTATCGAAAAATAAAATCCCAGGTGGCCGAGGAACCGAACACGCGACCAGACTACAAAATAATAGGGGGAAAACTAATGAGGCACATACTCCACAACCTCGACTTCAATGAAACACGAGCAGAGGAACAGTGGAAGGAGTGCGTACCAAAAGAGGATAGAATAGAAATATTAAGAAAATATCATAACGAACCCACCGCCGGCCACCTGGGAGTAGCAAAGACCATTGCCCGCATAGCCCGGCAGTTTTACTGGCCAGGCATGTTCAGGGAAATCGCGAGATATGTAAAAACGTGTGAGAACTGCCTGGCCTACAAGGCACAGCAGGTAAAACCAGCCGGGCAAATGCACGCGACCGCGGTAAGGGGTCCATGGCAACAAGTTACCATGGATCTCATTGGCCCCTTACCGCGATCAAACAACGGCCACTCGTGGATCCTGACAATGCAGGACCGATTCACGAAGTGGCTAGAAATGCGACCGATAAGGCGGGCAACGGCGAACATCGTGACGCAGACACTAATGGACACGATTATATACAGACACGGCTGCCCCCAGACCATCATTTCCGATAACGGCACCCAATTAAAATCCCAACAACTAGCACAAATGCTCACAGCGCACAAGATAAAGCACCGTACCACCCCCGTCCATGCACCCCATTGCAACCCAGTAGAAAGGACCAACAGGGTCGTAAAAACAATGGTGGCACAATATGTAGGGCGAGACCACCGAAAGTGGGACATACACCTGCCGGCCCTGCAGTTCGCTTATAACACGGCAGTACAGGAGTCCACAGGCTACTCGCCCGCCTATTTAAATTACGGGCGAGAGATAGACACCACGCCGGATAACACGGACGGAAGGGAAGAACCAGCATCTCGACAAAAAAGGCTAAAAGAAGCGAACGAGCTGGTAAGAATAAACCTGGCTCGAGCATTCCAGCGACAGGAAAAATATTATAATTTAAGACGACGGAACTGGAAGCCAAAGATCAACGAAAAAGTATGGAAAAGAGAATACCCGCTATCTAATAAGGCGAAAGCTTTCAACGCAAAATTAGCACCGAAATACACAGGTCCGATGACAGTGAGAAAAATAATATCGCCGGTTGTCGTCGACCTGAAAGACAAAAACGGTCGATGGCACCGGCATATACACGTTCAGGACTTAAAGCCACAGAACAACAACAGCGAGGAGGACGACGAAGGCGATCCGATAAACAATACATAAAGGAGCGCACAACGAAGAAAGTCTCACTTTCCAACGAGGCAACGGATAGGAAAGATGCCTACACAGAAAGCGTACGAGATCGAAGGAGTAGACCTCCTCTGGACGGACCTGCTTCTGTCCTCGGACGACGAGGAAACCGAGGCACCGCAGCCTCGATCACCGTCGGCACTACCACCGCCGACATCAACAGAGGACAACCAACCGCCTCAACAGTCAACAACGGAAACAACTGAGACACCGCCAGAAAAGAAAGCGAGGACGGAGAAGCCAATATCGGCGGCCGCAACGAGAGCACCAATAAACACGCTGCCATCAAGAGGCACGCGTATTCAACGATCGGACGCCGCGCAAAAAAGGAAAGCCATTTTCCTTACGGCTCCGCCGCCCCCACCGCCAGGGCGCCGAGGACGTGCCGCCGGCACAAGGAAAACCGGCACAAGCGCAGTGCAAATACAACCAGCATGCGCAAGAAGGGCAACGAAGAGAACAGCGTCACCACCAGCACCGGCAGGAACACCAGCACCAAGAACGACCGCAGCCCAGCCAACAACTGAAACACCGCTAATAACAAAGACAGGAGGCCAGCCAGGGACAGCGACCAAACGGGCAACCGACCGAGCAACGACGGAACCGCTCCGTATAATTCCGCCGTCGCTACCGCCACCGATACCCGTGGAGCTGCGTCCAGGCTTAATCACAATGGTACCACACTTCGCGGTACATGTGTCCCGCCGGTATCGAGTACGCATACCGGAAGGACGATGGATGCTTAGATTTAACAGGATAGGACAACTACGGGCCTGCCAGAGACTCCCCGACGACCCGCCCTAGGACGGGGGTGATGTAACGATGCACACCTGCATCGTCACTACTCCGGCCCGACCGACCATCAGTCGGGCCGTGCACCGGCGCGTTGCGCCAACAATAAAACTCCGAAAGACCGACAAACAAAACACGATAACGAGTATAAACAAAGCGAGCGAAGATCACGCGAGAAATCAAGCACAGCGGAAACAATAGCGAGCGAGCGCCGCGAGCACGCGACGCACACGTGTACGAGGCGCGGAGACAAAGAAGCGTCAAGTATATAATCCGCGACGCCGAATTAATCAGGACCAGACCGATCCGGACCGTCAACCGAACTCGATGCTACACAGCGGAGAGCAAGGCCTACGACCGACTCGTATCTGCTTCCTAAACCTGCCAACGATCACATCCTCGCAAACCAGGACCGAAGCCAGTACGTTAGCTGTGCTCTGCCGATCTTTATCGACTCTAGTTTGCATCCCGTCGACATCCCGAACAAGGACCGAAGCCAGTAAGCTAGCTGCGCTCTGTCGAGCTTTCTCGACCCTTGTTCGTCACCTTTCGACGAGCGAGATCGGGTGTGAATACGCCGATACATCGGCTACTCACGCCTCATCTCGTCTCTTGCGACGCCGACGGGCAAGCGAACGCATAGCTGTCAAAACCGCGAGGACAGCATACGACACTGTGCTACGACTTCGGTACCGCCGACACCGCGCGGTCCCCGCGACCAGCCACGCGAACCGCGTACGAATCGCGAACACCGAATCACGACACGCGACCGCCTGCCGAATCTCCGAGGCGAGCCTAGCCATCGCGCTATACGCTCCGCCTACCGACTTACCTATCGCGGCCTACCGAAACCGCAATCCGGTAGCTGGCGCCGTCACCCAGAAACTTTGTATACTAATACGCGAACACTCTGTACCAAGGCTAAATAAATCTTTTTGTTATTTTACATTCCGCGTCCGTTTATTTCACGAACCCGGACTCCGACGAGCGAATACATCCGCGGCAACGACACCAACCGACACGCGGAGTACGGTTGTTACAGACATATAATCCAACGTTGTTTGACAGACATCATTAGCGAGTGCAGAGCGCGTATGAAGAGCTGTGAAAGTACTCGAGGGAGTTTCAATTCGCCTCCAGAACTGTCTGTAGAAGAGCAGCGTGGCACTGAATACATTGCTCCCATATCTCTTTTAACGCTGATATATCGAATTTTGGCAGCCGTGTAGTTATTTTTGCCGATCTTCTTAAACTTTTCCAAGGAGCGATCAATTATTTGCAGCAATGCTTATTGCCTTGAGTAGAGATGTCCTTGTCAAACGAGTTAGCTCGTGCCCCAAACGGTTGAATAACCGAAAGACACCGAATTACCTTCGATCCGGCTCAAAGAACCAGTTTTATGTTTACGAACGATTGAAATTTTTTCCGCAAACGGAAATGCCGGAACCGGCCAAAAAGAATGCGAGGTGATTGGCTTCATAGGAAGCGAAAAGAAATGGAAAAATTTAAGAAAAATGCGAATTTGTCTAGGATATTTTCATATAAAAAGCGGATAAGAGTTGAAGAGTGGCAATGAACTAAATTGAGGAGAGAATTCTCATGGAGTGAGAAGACTGACGAGCCAGATAAAGTTCGGAGAAGACTTTGATATACTGATAATCGTTTAACAGAACAATTTATTATACTGTGTTGTGAACGTCTAATAAGGCTCTAACAACGGTTGTGTTTGAACGAATGTTTATAATGTCTGTTCGATCATGCAGCTTCCCAATGTCGGTGGGGATCAGCTGCGTGATAGACGCGTTATCACGTAGAGCAAGCATGATCATTCCAATTTCGAAGACGTTTTCGAATAATAATTGCGTATTTGTTTTGAGTATATGATAAGGACGTTGCAATCTTGAACATCACCATATTAGATATTTTTTTTTAATTCACAAACGTGTATGCTTTCAAGCAATGCCCTTCTTTCACACTTATTCCACAGAGTATTTTAAAAGTAAACTCAAACTCTTCTCTTTTATATCTACGCAAATCAGTATCGAGAGTTCGCAATGGATCTATTACTATGTGCGCAACTAAGTTTCCGGGTTTCACACATGGATGGCGCTAACGACACATGTAGTCGACATACATGTCTAAAGTTGTGTTTCTTTTATAGCTTGGACATCTGTCAACAATAACCAGTCATAATACCAACATATATCGTAACGCAAAAATATTTTTTCTAACAATAAAGATGTTGAGTTTAGAGCCAAATAAACAGCATTTGCTGGAAGCTTTGCTTTTCTGCTTTAACTTGAAAAAAAAATGCAGCTGAAGCACGTCGTTTACTTGAGGAGGCCTACGGCGAACATGCACCATCGAAAACTACCTGTGAAGATTGGTTTAAACGCTTCAGAAGTGGCGATTTCGACACTAAGGAGAAGGAGCGCTCCGGAAGACCAAAAACAATTGAGGACGCCGATCTGCAAGTGTTATTGGATGAAGATGATACGCAAGTAAAAGATCAACTCGCGGAGGCATTAAACATGACTCGCCAAGGTATTTCCAAACGTTTACATGCCATGGGAAAAATTCAAGAGGAAGGAAAATGGGTGCATGAGTTGACTGAGAGACAGATGGAAAATCGAAGAGTCACTTCCGAAATTC